AGAACACGCAGACCGCAGTTACTTTCTCCCCACTTAAGGGGTCGCGCTGCATGAGAGAGGATTCGAACATGGGCTGGAGGGTTCCCAACCATGCTCGCCCACAAAGCTAAGCCCGTGGGTTCAGAAAAAGTTTAATGTATTATGGTATTAGAGCAGTAGCCTTTTAATTTCTCCTTCTGCAACTTCTTTATTTGCCTTCCATGGATGCGTTGAGTAATAGGATCGAAGGATCTCAAAGCAAAACAACAATGGTGGGTCCCTTCAGACCTGACTACCTTCAACATTCTAATATCACTGATGTTGTTTCTCAAAATTTCACAGGTGATAACTATGCCTTCTAAAGTCAAGCCATGATGACCGCCTGAAGTATTTGGGATTTGTGAACTGATCTATTAGTTGGGATTTGTGAACTGATCTATTAGTTTCTATAACAACAACAACATCAAGCCTTTATTCCACTATGTGGGATCGGCTACATGAATTATTTTTTTTCATTGTGTGCTGTTAGGAGTTAAAATTTTATTTAAATCTACTAAAAAAAATCATTTCTAATATCTTCTAACCAAGTCTTTTTAGGTCTACCCTACCTTTCTTAACATAGGCCAAATCTAGCACATCTACCCTTCTAATAGGGTCATCATAAGGACGCCATTTTACATGACCAAATCATCTAAGGCGACTCTCTCTAATCTTATCTATCGCTTGAACTACTCCAACCTTTTCACGGATATGCTCATTTCGTATCCTGTATGTAAGAGTAAATCCACTCATCCACCTCATCATCTTCATCTCAACAATACTTAACTTAATATTATGCTTCTCTTTTAATGGCCAACATTCTGCACTATAAAGCATTACAAATCTCACCAAAATATAATTTTGATGGTTCAACTTTACAACAAACATGCTTCTAGATGTAAATGAATCAACAAAATATAATTTTGATGATTCAATAAATAAATATAGAGCGTGTCTCATTCTTTAAGGGTTACATACAACAAGAAGGTGTGCACATCATATAGATATTATCTCCTATTACCAAGATCGTGAATGTCAAAATGCTTCTAGCCTTTTTGGCTAGCCAAAATTAGATTTTAAACCAACTAGACATAAATATTGTGTTTCTCCATGGAGATCTATTGGAAGAAATGTACATGAAATTATTAATAGGATATAATAGTAAAGAATAAAAGAATCAATAAAGATGGAAACACATTTTTCGATTACATAAATTCATTTAGTAACTTAACAAGCATCTTGCTAATGGTATTCAAAACTCTCTAAATCAACTATCAAATTTGGCTTCACTTAATCTAAATATGATTACTTCTTGTTAATTATAGGAGCTCATTTTACTTTCTCATTGCTTTGCAATACAGATGTCCCTTATGGTGCATATTAGATCTGTTACTTTCTAATTTGGATGTAATTTTCATTGTCCAAAAACTAAGCCATATCTTAGTTTAAATGAAAGCATCTCATATAGCTTATGCTGAAAATCTCATAATCTTCAATTGAAAACATATTCTCACACTCTGACTAGAGATCTTGTCTCAATAAAAGTAAATTAGTTGTTGAATTATGTATGGTCATGAGGACTATAATTTATTAGAAACCCAAGAAAAGACTACCATCTCTAGATCATCTATCGAAGCCGACTATCACACATTAGCAACTATAATTAATAAATTAATATAAGTCACTCAGCTATGACAGAACTACGAGGTACACTAAATTTCTCTTGTACAAGTATATTTGTGACAATCAAGCTATTATTATTCATACATTGATTAATCTTATCTTTTATAAACGAACTAAACATATCGAGAACTACTACACCTCATTTGAGACAAATTCATTGAGCGCTTTATTAAGCTCATGCCCATCTAGACCAAAGGCAACTAATGCACATACACACCTAAATGTAACCCTTGACTTCTATTATTATATCATTTAAAAAATAGAGGACTATTAAATTCATAACGATCAAATTTTAATAAGAATATATTAACCTGAATTTCTTTCCAATTAATGCCGCAGAGCCAATATAATCAAGAAAAATAGGTCTATTAGCGTTAAATGAGTTAATTACTATTGGGCCAAGTTCTTAACGAACCCAAGAACAAAAAAATAGATGGCTGTATTGTGCCTGTGCGGTTTGTTGACTTAAGACATGCCCAAGAAAGGATATTTAGGCCTATAACGCTAATTTTAGTTATAATGTGGCTTAGTTGAAGTTTATAGCCCATTGAAAAGTTGGGCCTAAGTAAAGCCCATCTGGCAGGGAATTTGGGCCTACACAGATGAGGTGCTTTATTATTATTATTATGAAAATATTTTGGTCAATTAAGACAAACTCACACACACATCACATATGTGAGACTCGAACTCAAAAGCTGACCACAATGAGTTGCGTAAGTATTTTATTATGATACAAGCGCTTGTATCCGATAAATTTATAGTTATAGAACAAGAATATAATATAATATAATCATAACTATGAAATTTAGTTAAAGAAGAAAATTATGTTAAACCAAAAATAGAAATGTTCACTAGTAAAATGAATAAAACATTTTTTGAAAAATTTACTTCTATGTATAATTTATTTCTATTAAAATGGTATAAAAAAATTCATCAATCAATTCATTGGAATTAACCAAATGCACACCCTTTTATTAGGATTTCAAGATTCGGTTGAATCAAAACTGAATCGACTAAGCCAAAGTATATCATGGTTTGAATTGGTTCGATTAATACAAGCTGATTGGCGCAGGGATAAATGAGTTATAAAGGCTATTGATCCTATATTAATAATATGCTCGATTAGTAATATTTTTAATTCTCAAGGCTATTTCACTCATCATGTGGTGTGCCGGTTCATGCTTTTATTTGGATTTTAAGAAAATATAATGTGACAATAACTGAGTGACAAAGTGGTGCAAAATACCTGCAACAAAAACAATCTATGCGGCAACCGAAGGCTGCAGTTAGGCAAAAGAACTCTAAGCAATGAAACAGGAGTTTTCAGTAGTAAGGTATTATCTGCCTTTTCATTCCTTCTCCAGCTGATATATAGCAGCTTAGTGCAAATAGGATAAGTAAACGAGTAAACTAGTAATTAAGGAGTAAACTAGTAATTAAGCTAAAGCAGTAATTGGAAAACAGGAGAACGTGGAGAGTGCTTCTGACACCGGACGAGGATTGTGGTAAGTCGTTATATGCCGATCCCGTAACCCTCAGGTGTTGCTTCCTTATGCTGTACCACATCAGGTTCCTCCTGCCGAGAAAGATTCAGGTTCCACCTGAATCGAGCCCGTGTTATCCGGCGGGTGATAAGTAAAAATATCACTGACGTTGAAAGTTGTAGATGTATGAAGGCTGTCCGGTAAGTCAACGACATAAGCATTGTCGTTGATTCGTTTTAGGATCGGTACAGGACCATATTTGCGTGGGCTGAGGTTAGAGTGAGTACCGGCAGGAAAACGTTCTTTGCGGAGTCTAACAAAGACAATATCACCTGGTTGGAAAGAGACATGCCTCCTATGCAGGTCAGCTGCTTGTTTATAAGCTGAATTGGAGGAAATTAATTTAGACTTGACTTCCTCAAGGATGGATTGGCACTGCTCTGTGAGGGCTGCAGCTGACTTATTTGCACATTTCGGTAATATAGCAATATCAAGCAGATGATTCGGCGCCTTAGTATATACAATAGCAAATGGGCATTTACCGGTGGAGCGGTTAGGCATTGAATTGTAAGCGAATTCGGCCTGGCTAAGACAGTTCTCCCATTGCTTCGGATTGTTTTGGACCAAACATCGCAGCATACTTCCAAGTGTGCGATTCACAACCTCCGTTTGCCCATCGGATTGTGGGTGATATGCAGAACTTAGATTAAGGGAGGTGTGTAGGCGCTTCCAAAGCTCACGCCAGAAGTGGCTAACAAATTTGACGTCGCGGTCCGAGGTAATACTTCTCGGTAAACCATGTAGTCGGACGATTTCATTAAAAAAAAGACGAGCTATATTAACAGCGTTGAATGTCTTTTTACAGGAAATAAAATGTGCCATTTTTGAAAAACGGTCCACGACTATCATTATGGAATCAGCGCCTCTTTGTGTCTTCGGTAAGCCCAATACAAAATCAATACTGATGTCCTCCCAAATAGAATCTGGTATTGGTAGAGGAGTGTATAATCTGGTGTTTTGCTTGCTCCCTTTGAATTCTTGACAGACTGCACACCTTTCAACAAATCTTGAAACATCTCGATGGAGTTTTGGCCAGAAAAACCTGCACGGAGTTGCTGGAGAGTCTTCTCACGACCCAGATGTGCTGCAAGTCCTCCGGCGTGGGCTTCTTTAATCAGCTGCTGTCGGTACGAGGAATCCGGGCTGCATAATGTATTGCCTTTGAAGAGGTAGCCGTGTCTGAGGGAAAAATCGGCTGCTAGTTGCAGATTTTGGCATTTTGTCCAAGCTTCGTGAAAATCACTATCAGTGTTGTATAGTTCCTTCAAGGATTCCAGCCCCGTGAGCTCCGTTTGCAACTGAGTAACCAATGCAGTTCGCCGGCTGAGTGCATCAGCAACACGATTTTGGCTACCGGATTTGTGCTTAAGAACGAAAGTGAACTTTTGTAAAAACAAAATCCAGCGAGCATGCATCCTGCTGATTGTTTTCTGACTGTTAAGGAATTGTAGGGCTCGATGGTCACTACATAGCACAAAATCTTGATGAAGTAGGTAATGCTCCCAATGTTTTAAGGCTCGCACGACTGCATACAATTCCTGCTCATAGACGGTCCATTTTTGGCGCACAGTGCTTAACTTCTCACTGAAGTACTCAATCGGCCTGTCAGCTTGTGACAAAACTGCACCAATACCAACGACGGATGCATCAGTGTCTACTTGGAATGGATGATCGAAATTAGGAAGGGCTAAGACAGGTGCAGAAACCAGCGCTCCCTTCATAGTATCCCAACTCCGCTGGCACTCTTCAGTCCAGTTAAATTGTTTGCCTTTCAAACAGTCCGTTATCGACACAAATTCTATTGAGATAATCTTTCAATACCTCATTCATCAATCGCATAAAGGTGGCAGGTGCATTACACAAGCCGAATGGCATTACCCGCCACTCGTATAGGTCTTGTCGTGTTTTGAATGCAGTTTTCCACTCGTCACCCGGCCGGATGCGAATCTGGTGATAGCCGCTGCGGAGGTCTAGTTTAGAGAATATCTTGGAGCTAGCAAGCTTGTCCAGCAAGTCCTTAATCCGTGGCACCGGAAAACGGAATTTAGAGGTGATTTTGTTGATGGCTCTGCTATCAATACACATCCTCCATTTATTGTCCTTCTTCGGTACTAACAACGCTGGCACCGCACAAGGGCTGAGACTATGTTGGATCATCTTCTTTTGCAGCAGTTCGTCAACAATTCCTTGCAAAATCTCGTGCTCTTTGGGACTCATCCGGTAATGAGGTAAATTAGGTAAATTGGCACCAGGAGTCAAATCAATCTGGTGTTGTATCATTCGCATGGGTGGCAAATCTGGCGGTAGTTCTGCATGAACTACATCCTGGAACTCTTTCAATAAGTCGCTGACTTTAGCTGGTAAGGACTTTGATGTTTCTCCAACGGGTACTTCAGTCACCACTAGAGCAAAGATATGAGTGTGAGGTTCATTAACTAGAGAGGTTCCTGAGACAATATTCAAAACTGCTTTGTCTTTTCCCCGAGGTTCAGCTATGGTGCTTGAGGTTGTCGCATTAGGTAGAAGTTTTAACTTCTTTCCTTTCCACTCAAACGAGTAAGTATTATGGCGACAGTCGTAAATAGCCCCACTATCGTATTGCCAAGGCCGGCCAAGTATTATATGACAGACGTCCATGTCAATGACGTCACAAAGAACCTCGCTCATATAACTTTTCCCAATTGAAAAACTAACGCGGCACATATCCGTCACGGAGATGTCAACTCCTTTTTTAACCCAACTTATCTTGTAAGGGTGTGGGTTTTTCGTGGTTTTAAGCTGCAAGGCCTGCACGAGCGCCCGGGAAACCACATTTTCAGTGCACCCATTGTCTATAAGTAAGTCACACACTTTGCCACCAACTGTACACCGAGTGCGGAAAATAGAATTTCGTTGGGAGTTGGTAGGCTGCCGTGGAGTCAACAACAGCCGTTCAAGAATGCACACTACGGCCTCCCCTTCATCAGGTACCACCTCTTCAATGCATTCTTCCTCATCTTCATACGCCGTGCCTTGAGGATGGTCATCTTCACCTTCCACTATTTGCAGCTGCGGTCGCATCGGACACTCATTGGACTTGTGTCCAGGTTGGAAACATCGGAAGCATTTGAGGTTGGTAGGTTTGGCATAAGGATTGTCTTTACCCGGGTAGCGGGGCTTTGGCAGTGCCTTCAGATCTGGTGACGAGTGGGCGTGAGAACCTGATGGTATTGCAGGAGCTGCTGCCTTGCTAGGAATTGACGTCTTGGAATCGGTCACAGATTCTGAAAATTGCCTCCGACTCATATAGCTCCGAGAGTGTCTAGACTGCTGAGTCTCTGCCTTGAGAGAAAAATTGACCGCCTGAGACAATGTCCAAACGGAATTGAGCTGTAATCGATCCTGCAATGCTTCCTTCAATCCACCAATGTATCTAGCGACCAATTGATTATCTGATTCGTGTAGGTTATTCCTAGCACTTAACCTGTAGAATTCCTCCGTATAATCACTGACGGTCCGCTGTCCTTGAGTGCAATGTTGGTACTGCATATACAATATTTGCTCGTAATCGGTGGGGAGGAAATGTTCCCGCATCAATTGCTTCATTATGTACCAATTCCGAACTGCTCCTCGTCCTTCCCTCCGCCGATTTTGTAACAATTGCATCCACCATGCACTCGCACCCCCTTTGAAGCGACACGCTACATATTTGACTTGTTTCTCCGGAGGAATTTCCATATAATCGAAAAATGTCTCAACAGTTCTTTCCCAGTCTAAATAGTCTTCGATGTGAAGACGTCCCTCAAAGAAAGGGATATCAATCTTGACTCGAAACTCACCTTGAGGATGATGCGGCCTCTCCCTGGCAGGACGCCATTCACCACGAGCATTGCACATTCTGTCATCGGGCTCAAGGAAATCATGCTCCTGCCTGCGTCCATCATCTTCATCTGAATCAGAGAAATCCTGATTTCCTGTAGGAATCCCATTAGCTAGTCTATCTGGACCGATGTGTCCCCGCTGCACGGGAAAAGCGTATTCACGCCTGGCGCGCCTCAGCCCTGGATTTGCGCCCACGGTTTGTTGCAACATTTGTATATCCTGCCTCGTCTCCAACGAGAATCGACGGAACTCAGCATTGAGTTCTGAGATTTCCTTGGAAATTTGAGTGATTGCAGTCCATACGTCCTGGCTCCGATCTTCGTCGGGAGCAGCTCGTCGGCTAGTCTCCGCCATCCCAGTGCTCGTCTAGATTGCTCTGATACCAGCTGGTGCAAAATACCTGCAACAAAAACAATCTATGCGGCAACCGAAGGCTGCAGTTAGGCAAAAGAACTCTAAGCAATGAAACAGGAGTTTTCAGTAGTAAGGTATTATCTGCCTTTTCATTCCTTTTCCAGCTGATATATAGCAGCTTAGTGCAAATAGGATAAGTAAACGAGTAAACTAGTAATTAAGGAGTAAACTAGTAATTAAGCTAAAGCAGTAATTGGAAAACAGGAGAATGTGGAGCGTGCTTCTGACACCGGACGAGGATTGTGGTAAGTCGTTATATGCCGATCCCGTAACCCTCAGGTGTTGCTTCCTTATGCTGTACCACATCACAAAGAAAAGAAAAAAGAACAAAAAAAAGATTAAATATTAGATATGTGAGTTTAATGTGGCCATTATATATCTTCTTAGTTATTTAACAAGTAGTTGACGAATCATAGCAAGTGAACTCATATCTTATGGACCTCACAAAAAGAATTCGCCCAAAGGGTCATCAAGCCTGAGCTAAGCAAAATAGTCAGGGTAGAGTCACCTCCCATAAGAAAAGCCAAGGTTTTTCCCAAACCACTAGTCGACAGTTGCCCTCTGGCATGAAGGACACACCAAAGCCACTCACCGTTATCTATAATGAAACTTTGCCAACAATACTCATCATCTTAGTTGAAGGAAAGGATCATTTAGAGATGATTTCAATTTGCCCTATCACAATCAGCTAATCATTGACCTACCATTTGTGTGACTTTAACATGCACGCTTCCCACTTCGAAGCAACCCAGAGCTCCAACAAAAGGTCGCCAACGACTTCAAGGCGCTTATTAGTCACAACTCTTTCAGTTCAACCCTCGCCAACCCTAAACTTCTATACATATGGCATTTAGGAACTCGCCTTGAGACAAAAAAAAATGAGAGAGGTAATATTCCATTGAGCAAGCTAGAGTATGATGTGTACAAGAAATTCTGTTTCAAGGATACTATACTTTATGCTTTTCTTCATATATTTTTTATGTAATCCTCGTATCCCTATAAATAAATGAGATCAGTTTGCCTGCATATTAATTAAACCAAAAACATAATTGATATAGTAATCACAACAATATTGCAATAGTTCTGCAAAAACAAAACAACTAAATTCAGCACAAGTGGTAGTCAGGTATTAAACTATTAATATTATATTTGATCCTTATTAATTTCTCTATTTTTTGGCTAGATTAGATAGAAAATATCGGGTAGATCAATCCAATGCTATTTGAGAATTTTTCCATCTCACGAGAGATCTGAGAAACACCATCACCTAACAAAATTTATAAAACTTGCATTTGAATCAGGATAGGACAATATTATGATAGAACAAGTCATACTACTTCATTCATAATTTTTTACCTCGGATGGGTCTTTCAGTGAGTAGTGAGCTTCAGTCTCTTTTGGTACTGAAGAAACCAGAATACCATAACCTCTATTCAGTTCTCTTAAAACCTTCAAAGCAGAAAGCCACTGAGATGAGAAAGAGGTCCTCGTCATATAAATTTCAGAACTTAGCTACTAATTATTTGATTTACCTTGAAGGCATCCTCATCAGTACGATCATCTCCGATATAAATGGGAAGGACATCGTCTCGACCATTCAATCCTAGACATTCAAGCAACAAGTTGACAGCTTTCCCTTTATTCCAATCAATTATAGGGCGGATTTCTAAAACCTGCAAGTTGAAATCCATTAAGATAAAAAGATTTAAGCAAATAACAAAAAACGGCAGATTGGTCATTTTAACCTTCCGCCCATGTGTTAATTGCAGATGAGGATAGTTCTTGAGGATGTCATGTACGCGCTGGGCAATTACAGTCCAATTCTGCATGACAAAAACATATTAAACTCTTTAAAGGCTGTTTGGTAGCAGGACTTAGGTCAGATTTGAGGCCGATTTGTGACAAATCCAGCCAAACGACCTAAAATGCAAAAATCAAATCTCACGGAAAACGAAATCTCTGTAGACGAAAAATTCTGCCGATTCGCTCTAAATCCCGGATTTCCCAAATCATGTATTTTGCCGGATTTATGAAATTCATGACACTTGAGGAAGAGTTGACTCTGTAAATTCTGCTCTATAGCCAAACAGGTATATGAGATTTAAGAGGATTTATCATGAATGTTGTCAAACAGTTTTTAGGATTTAAGTCCCTCATGATTTTTGAAATCTAGATTTACAGGATTTACGAAATCCTATTTAAATCAAATTCAGTGTTCTACCAAACAGCCCCTACGTGTAAGTATTAAGAAATCTAAGAGAAAATCTCTGCAATGATATTGTTACGATTTCAAGCAATTAAGATTGACCTTCTCATCCACGAGGCGGTAATGAACAGATAAGCAAAACTTATTATTCTCAACTTTTGACCCTTTAATGTCCTTGGTTTTGTCGATGAGACATTTAAAAACCTGTTGAATGGAAAATAAATAAATAAATAATAATAATAATTAACGATGAAAGAAATCATTGTTTGAAGTTCAAAAGTAAATAGTACCTCATTGATAATTGGTAAGAACTTGCTTGCAGGTTGGAACAAGTTTGGTTCCTTGCCCTGCAGAATTTATTGAAACAAGTTGTGTGTCAGTCATTTGATTTGAAAAATAGAAAATAATTTTAGAAGAAATGATACTTAACCTGCTTATAATTACGCCTAATGCAACTGTGATGGCTAAATAATGAGTTGGAATTTTTGACTGGGCAAGCCAAGTCCATGCCATGGCTACCAGCATAGAAAAGTTCTTTCAGTCCAATCAATTCGTAAACCTGACAACAGACAAATACAAAACAGAAATAACAGTTAGATTTTCCAGCCAAAACTAACATCTGAAACATGTATTATTATGTACAAAACAAATGCAATAAAAATGGTCACAAGAGTACCAAGTAAGAATATCACTTACGTACTACCTTATCACGACTTCTTCCACTGATAATCGCAGCTGGAAAGAATTTAGCAACATCTTTAACAGCGGAGCGCATCTGAAATCAAAGAAAAATAAGTTAAAAACTTAGAAAAATCAACTGCAACTCCAGAAAACAAAGTGGCTGGGTCTTTATTCACCGCACTGGACATAAACGCATTGTCGGGATTATCCACAATAGGTGAAAGAGTTCCATCATAATCCAAAAACAGTGCTACCTTTTTTCCCTTGGCGTAATTTGTGATTTGCTCGAAGGATGTAAGAGCTGAAGGATATTTTTTCTACAAAAAAAAATAGGAATCTGTGTTGGGAAAGAAGCACACCGAATTTTATCTGAACAAGTAAATCCAAAATCAAGTACTATGAATCATAAAATACCTTCAAAAGAGACCAAACATCACGAGAAAGAAAACCCTACCCTAAGATTTGAGAGCCTACATCTAAGAGAAAGGATAGAGAATCCAATCTACTAATAAAGAAGCCACAATTTTATTTTCTAAAACCAAAATACACATTCATTCAACAAAGAAAAAAGAGAAGCACAAATCTCTCAAACAAATTAGAGGAAATAACTTAAAACAGATAATAAAGAAATTGGATCAAAGAAATACTTGAACATTTCGCTCTTCAAAACTTTCTCCCCCCAAAAAAAAAAAATCATTTGCTTATTTAAACGATTTTTCTAATTCATGAACATGAATTTCTTGTGATTTCATGTTCTCTCTCTCATTTCTCAATTTCTTCTCAATTCCTTCACAAGAAACTAAAAACTCTCTTACACTTTTATGCTAAATAAGCTTTTAGACATCAACTAACATAGCCATCAACCCAATGCAAAACTATTCATGCAAAATCACCAAATAATTTTCAAAATTTTATGCAAGAAGCTTGATACTTAACCTCACCATATGATTCATGCAATAACTAAGGGTTTTGAACTAATCATCCTGGCTGCTCCTGAGATCGTCCAAGATGATATGATCGAGCAATCAAACCTTAATTACTAGATTAATTTAGGCATAATTATACTGCATCGTCTAGGACGATGTCCTAGATGATGTCCAAAAATAAAAGCTACTTAAATAGATATGATGGATGATTCTTTTTTATTTGATACATTCAATCTTCCTTGAATCAATTTTTGACAACTTGATCAAATATCAATTACCAACAATATCATAATATCAAATAAACAAGGAAAATGATTTACCACCCAGGTGCGATATGCAGAATTAGTGTCCTTGGATGCATCTTCGAAGTTGATATCCTCGTGATTTTTACGAGGAGATGATGATTTCATAGCATCAACAAAGACACCTAGATTGATCTCATCAAACTTGCTGGGCGTAGGAATTTTTTTGGGGATTGTTAAATACAAACCAGAAGAGAAGGTTGCTGATGGTGGTGAGCATGCTGGCAAACTAGAAGATATAGCCAGTCTGGATTTGCTAACAGGCGCTTGATCAACTAGAACTGCCGTATTGTTATTCTGCTTCAAATCCATGGAAACCAGCTCAAATACTGAAACTGAAGTATTGTTACTCTTTGTTACTCTGCTTTAAATCTATGGAAACCAGCTTAAATACTGAAAAGTTTGAAAAGTGGTTGCTCGCATTCTGGCTGATTTAGAAGTTCCAAATATAAACAAACTGCACCTTCCGTTCTCTTTGATGTAATTTTGAATTATCCACTAACCAACCCTTTTGTCAATGAAGAACCACCTCTTTAGAGTTTCCTTATCAGTGCAGTTGCAGGTGTAGCCCATTAAGAGCATGAGTCCTGGAAACTGAATGGTTGATTCTATATTAGAAGCGAGTCTTAAAGCACAAGGAGTAAAAGTAGGCGAAGAAAACAGAAAACAAACTATAATTAGCATATACCTTTTCATCCTCACTGTGAAGCATTTATTGTACGCAATCAAACATAAGAATCAGTAATTTGCCCTGCAGGAGACTCTAAAACAACTTCTTCTTTGTCACGCCATGTAAAGTCTGCATCAAATATGTAAGTTCAAATGCTAAGATTTAAGTTTACAACTTAGAAAGATTGAATGTTTTCCACATAGTATATACAGGAAACATTACATGGCTTGCTCCTACATCTTTTTTAAATTGGAACAAAAATTCAAAGTTTCCTCTCCAGTTAGAGCATAGTCCAGAGTAGCTGGACGTATAAACAATATATATTGTGCATGCATAGAAACAAAATAATAAATTACATTGCCAAAGTTTAAGTGAAATACTGCACTCCAAAAAAGTGAGAAAAAAAACTAAAAACTTAGAAAGAAAATATAATCACTTGGTTAGAGAGACCAATACAAACTTTTACCAAATAGAATTACATGCACGATTCTTATTTTGATTGAATCACCTAAAAAAATGGACCATCAATAAATTTTCTACAAATTTCTTAATCTTCCCCCAAGTAAAATTGCATTATATTTTTAACTGAAACACCTACAAAAATGGATCGCAATTAATTTTTTATATAGATTTGTAAGAGGAAATTAGTTTTTTTTTCTTTTTGTGGAAATAAAACAAGCAAAAGGGGTTCCTTCAGCTGGATGGTCATATCTGCTGATGCACCTTTTGATGTCATAGTAACAGTTAAATTAATTTAAAAAACAAACATGAATGAAAACAAAAATAAACCTTCAAAATATGAAGGGTCTTTAACTAAAACCACGAAAACTTCTTCGAAATAGTACTTATCGTCCGTTTAGTTAAAAAAAAAATACAGCTGAAGAGATTTTCGCTAGAACAGAATATTTATTTAGAAATATAAAAATAAAAATAAAAACCAAAACACACCAAGAGAATTGAAAAACAAGCAGGATTAAACAAACACCATGATGAACAAAGCATCCAGTAAAAAATAAACCGGTCTTCTTTCTATTTAAGTAATCTCAATCCTGAATTACGATAACAATTCTGTTCTAAACCTAATATTGAGGTGTCATTGCACTTCAAATTCTCAATTGAAAAATATATCGGGGAAAATTCCTATAAAGAAAACCCTTATAAAAATTCACCAGGGAAGACCTTAAAATGTATCTTGTGCGAAAATCTTTACAACAAAATTTTTGTTTGTGTAAGAAATCATATATAACAAAGTGAGATTTATTTTGCCTGCAGAAAATTAAAGCATGTAAATTTTCTCGTTTCAAAGATATGTAAATTATCATGTCTTTTTTTTTATGCATCTGCAGATAATTTCTAATATATAGTATGTACTTCAGCTTAAAGTACCAAAAATTGATTTAAAAGAGCATATTATTTTTCTCTGCAACAAAATTTTATAAAGTAGTTATAAGGAACTGTTTAAGAGATATTTGCCCTATTTCAGCACAAAATTCCAATTTGTCCACTTTCCACTATCGGACAGTCAGTTTTTCTCTAGTCCCTGTCCTTATGAGATATAGAGGTATTTACATTCAAGCCAAAAATTTTTTTAAGACGTATATTTTCCTGTAATTTTAGAATATTTTTATTCCATTTAAATCTTTAGAAGAGAGGACAACCTAAAAGTGATGGATAAAACGAGAAAGTCATGGAGATGACCATTGGTGATTAGAATGGTAGGTGGTAACAATACAATCCAAAGAAGGCAACAAGATAGTGCGCCAAGGCTAATTAGATCACTGAAGATAGCTAGATTGATCCTCCCTTAAGGTGGTGGCAAAGAGTACACAAAAATATATTTTATAGATGTGATGAATAGTAGTCGAGATAATCTCTGTTTTTGAAAAAGGGAGATTACATGACCCAAAATCAATGGATGATTGAAGGCAGTCAAGACAATTCCTTCTTTATAAAGAAAAGGAGGTTCGAATGATCTCAAATTGAAGAGCAATTGAAGAAGGTCAAAACAACTTTTCTAAAGTAAAAAGTATGGACTAAATGACCTGAAGTCTAAAATGAGGGGCTAAGATAATCTCTCATGGAATGATAAGGGATTATATAGCCAAAAGATGCCAGATAAAAGGAGGGAGAGTAGCCCTTCCACGAGGGGGAGATATACGATATGAATACAACAAAGAAAATAGAAGAATAACCTTGAAGGAAGTAGGTACTATATTACACAAGAACAAGGACGAAAGGGAAAAGAGTAGTCTCTATCACAGAAAGAGTGCATAGGGACAATACAACCTAAAGATGGTGATATAGAGAAGAGAATAACCCATACTCTATTAGGAGAGGGATTCTATGATTCAAGAATGATCGCAAAGAGAGGATCTAGGAACACCTAAACATTCGACTTAGGTGATAGTCATAACTCTAGAATTCTCTATGATTCTAAAGTTTAAAATATGGCAAACAAAAAAAATTCCATATATAGATTTTGTAGGAAGATTGTCAATTCTTAGATAGTATTATTCATGAATATTTTATTTTCTTATTAACCATAGAAAAATCACATCGCATCCTCCCTTGATCAAAAAGTGATAGGACGATATTGCTCAAAATCGATCTGATCAACCTGCCTAATCAAGGCTAACTTGAGCGGCCAACCCGAGGTTAAAGGCGATGATCCTATGATGGTCTAATAATAACCATCTCCCATAAAATATTCTCTCACTAAACAAAATATATTATCTAGATCTCAATATCATTAGTCCAATAAAATTGACATATCAAAATTTTGATAGTTGAATTAACAAGAGCAATTTTGCGAAACTTAATGGATACAATTTATGCCATTAGAAAATAAATATGATAGACCATCATTCTTTGTATTAAAAAATATGTCTACTTGACAACAATAACTCATCATAATAGCTCCCAAAAATGTAGGTTTATGAATGGTGAATACAATTCTTGTTCAATGATCTTCACGAAAATAACAATGCATAAGGATGATCAGATGCCAAGGATGATTGCTAATAGAAAAGGGATGACAGGGAGCAAGCCAATGAGTCCATCAACAAGTCAACGAAACATCGGCGACAACAACCACCTCTTGCTCGAAGTCATGCAAACATATAGTGAAGGGGAGAGGAAAATCCAATGAATTGATCGAGTGAAAAATGCTAGGCTAACTTAGTTCCCTAATGTGTTCGGATTCGAGCAATATTCGTATTGTTGAAATAGTCACAATAGACAAGCATTTCAACAATAAATTTGCAACTTGATGTCACCTTAGATGGTTTAGTCACATAAAGTTGTGGGCTCCGAAAATTCGGCCCCGGCCTCCGCCTGCTGTGCTTTTTCTTCGAGGTGGAGTTTTAACAGATTTAAGTTCCGGGTTAAAATTTAGGAAAGTAGATGAGTTTTTAAATAAGACACTGCCCGAAAATTTCGCCCTCATTTTGCGAGGACTTTATGATCTGAGTTATGGTTTCCTATAAGAGCAAGCTCCTATAGTTAATTACCCCTCCCGATAACAAGAGAGAACTAGATGTATAGAAATACGTATTATCTGGCATATAGTAGCAGTAATATGCATTTGGAAATGTAGAAAGTTTGAGGTTTGATATTTAAAATTAGAAATTTTACCATCTTGCACTTAAAGCGGATGGCGGGGGAATGAATGATGGACCCGATCAAGATCCCATGATTTCGTCGTCCTAGGCCATCTTGATCCCTGGTCTACTTAGTCAGAGGAGGAAGTCGACCCAACCTAACAAAAGGATCCTTGTCGGTAGCCATGAGTTGTTTCATCCAAGGGTACCTTGTAGACCTGGGGTGGATATTTACCTAAGGGGATAAATTTGAATCCACCTTAGCTAACAAAGGGCTTTATGCCTTATCGATTATATCATATTTATCCATATTTCAAGGATTTGGTGTCATTACGGAGTGTATTGGCTCTAACCATAATCAATATTTCATGGTGCCATTTGGCGGCAAAATCACTCGGTTCAGAGGGCCCCGGGTCATAACCATTTGTCCTGCATTGCCATTTGGCAGCAAAATCGTCGGTTATAGGACACATACCACGTCCTTACTAGCAGGAGATTATTTAAGAATGGATCCTAGTGATATTTTTGACCATGCATTTTGCTCTATGTGAGCTGAAGTTATATTAGAATTTGTTCACCTCGGCAAACTGTTACGGAGGGTGGATGGATTTTGCTTTTAGTGTTGATAGATTTATTTTAATTTTAAATATTTTGGATTTTGGGAATTCTGGAATTTTAGATTTTTGGGAGCTTTGAATTTTGTGGGTATTTGGGTGGCATTTTGAAGATATTTGAAATTAACCCCTCCGGTTGAGATTTAAATTCAACACGGCCATCATCGGAGTAACGTTAAAGTCACTTATATTTTCGTAGAAATTTGAATTTTGTGAAAGTTTGGAGGCATTTGAAATGGTTTGTGAACCGCTCCGGTTGAGATTTTCGTTCAACACGATCATCATCGGGTGTATGGGGTCATTTTCATTTGTAGATTGAACCTTATCGACTCTGTCAAGCTAACGACAGAGGATCAGATTTCGTAGGTTTTATGCCTTTGCTAGTGAATTCTCATGATTATAGGCCTTGAAGACCTAATATGAATGTATTAAGACAAATATACTAGTCGTCGCAATCGTATATTTATTTAATGGTTCAAACCTTGTCGACTCTTATTGATCTGCATAGAAGGATCGAGTTCAAACTTGAATTCAATTATTGACCCGCACGGCCGCACATCATCCCTAGACATCACGTGTGTACTTATAACACGCTCGTCGGGGCTCATGTGGGTGTTTGGGGGCATTTAAAATTATTTATGAACCCATGCGGTTGAGATTTTTGTTTAACACGGCCATCATCGGGGTGTTTGGGGTCACTTCCATTTGAAAATATTTGCATTTTGTAGATGAATCTTGTCGACTCCGTCGAGTTATCGACAGAAGATCGGATTTCGTGGGCTTTATGCCTTTATTAGTGAATTCTTATTATTATAGGCATTAAAGGCATAATATGAATGTATTAAGACAAATATACCGATCGTAGCAACCGTATATTTGTTTGATGGTTCGAACCCTATCGACTCCTATTGATCCG